ACCCTAAAGATTTTAAAACCATAAATCCCTTATTGCATAATTACTTGATCCGATTGAATTCCTTTGATTGATTGATAAATCTAATTGCTAGTCTTGCTAAATTCATTGATAAACCCTAATCTCTATGATCACACAGAAATCGTGTGCTAAGACTTGAAATTTATTGATTGATTGAATGTCTTTAGGATTATGGCCGCATGATAATTGAATTGTTCAACCATCATACATATTTACATATTAGATCCGTATGTTAGGAATGTCTTGCATCATATCCATAGGACCATATAGAAATTGATCATTAGGATTGATAAAAAATACATTATGGCTGCATGACTTGATTACATTACATATCCATTCGTATGCTACTCTTGAATATGATCTCATTGAATCAGTTTGCTAGTCTTGAAATTGATTGATTGATTGAACTAATTGAATGCTTTTAAAGATTAAGGCCGCATGATAATTGTTCCCACAAGTTTTTCGACTTGATCATATAGAATCCGATTAAACTTGACCAATGCATATATTGATAGATTGTTTTGACTAAGCTCACATGATCCTGAAAATTTAGATCTCGTATGCTAGGATTGTTTTGCATCAAGGCCGCATAGAAATTGATCGTTTTCGAGGCTTGAATGGATCATATCTATATCGACATGTTTGCATCATATACACATGGCCATATAGAAATTGTTCATTAAGGATTATCTTTTTTGATCATAAGACTTGTTTGATTAACATATGTATACCTGTCTGCTTCATATCACCTTGGCCGCATGAACACTATATCTTATGAAACCTAAGGAATAAAGTTATATGATGCTTTGGATTTATTTTTAATGCTTAGTATGCTTAAGAACTTAATAAGATGAATGATTTTAAATATGAAGTTTCAAAGATATGGTTCTTGTTTTGAAGAATGAAAGATGACATGGATATATTTGTGGTAGGCAGTGGATCAAGCCACACGATCTTAAGAAACAAAAGATACTTTGTCAATCTCACACTTAAAAGTGCCAACATAAGTACCATTGCGGGTATGACCAATCTAATAGAAGGCCACGGTCAGGCTATTATATTATTTCCTAAGGGTACACATCTAGAAATATCTGATGCCTCATATTCACTCAGATCAAAGAGAAATATATTGAATTTTAAAGATATCCGAATGAATGACTTTCATATTGAAACTAAGGACGAAGGAACCAAAGATTTCCTACAGATTTTTGAAATCGTCCAAGGCCATAAGAAAATCTTAGAAACCATACCTGGAAATGGAACTGGCCTTTACTATGCCAAGGTCAGTATGACAGAGGCTAATGCCATAGTAAAAAAAAATTTTACCGAGAAATTCACTCTTTGGCACGACCGGCTTGCCCATCCCGGTTCGACCATGATGTGAAAATTGATATCTAATACAAATGAGCACACTTTGAAAAAAAAAAGAGTTATCCCTAAGTACCTCACGTGTGTAGCATGTTCACAAAGGAAAATAATTGTTAGGCCATCACCAGTCAAAGTGACTAAGGAAACAATAAACTTTCTGGAAAGAACACAAGGTGACATCTGTGGACCAATACACCCACCTAGTGGGACGTTTAGATACTATATTTTCCTTATTGATGCGTCCACAAGATGATCCCATGTATGTCTATTATTAACCCGCAACTTGGCGTTTGCGAGGTTACTTGCTCAGATAATCCGTTTAAGAGCTCACTTTCCAGATTTTCCTTTAAAGATTATATGTCTTGATAGTGCTGGTGAATTCACATTCCAAGCGTTTAATGATTATTGTATGTCCATGAGGGTAAGTGTAGAACATTTTGTGGCACATGTACATACACAAAACGGCTTGGCTGAATCCTTCATTAAACGCATACATCTAATTGCTAGACCATTACTTATAAGATCAAAACTCCCGGTCTCAGCTTGGGGACATGCAGTTTTACATGCAGCCAAACTAATTCGTATCAGGCCATCTACTGAGCATAGATATTCCCCATCCCAATTGCTTACGGGTCACGAGCCAGAAATATTTCATCTTAAGACATTTGGCTGTGCCGCCTATGTACCAATAGCCCCACCAGAGATAACTAAGATGGGACCTCAAAGGAGGATGGGGGCATATGTTGGATATGAATCTCCCACGATAATTAAGTACCTTGAGTCAACTACGGGTGATTTGTTTAAGGCCAGGTACGCGGATCGTCACTTTGATGAATCCAACTATCCAACATTAGGCGGAGATAATAATAGGCTGGTAAAGGTCAAATAAATTTCATGGTCTCAACCATCTTTGTTAATATACTTACAAAAGCTAGCTAAACAATTGCCAGATTCTTTTGCTGACCCGAATAGAGTAACAAAATCATACATACCAGCTATGAATACACCAATTCGTATTGATGTCCAAGAAGGACACAGTCAAGTTACTGCAGAGTCTAAATCACGTTTGAAACGTGGTAGACCAATAGGTTCCAAAGATAAGAACCCTCGAAAACTAAAGAAAGGTGCTGGAACTGAACCCATGGTCGAGGGAACCCTAGACATGGACGAGCCGGCCGAACCGGCCAAACCTAATGGGCTGGTTGAACCTAATGTGCTAAACAATGAGGTTTAGGACGCCAAATTTCATGGTACCAATAGTCCTGATAATAATGAGATCTCAATCAATTATGTCATGTTTAGAATACTATGGAACAAAAAGAATGTTGACATTGATGATTTATTTGCATGCAACGTAGCACTTGAGTGCACTCAACGATCAGATTGGATCAAATGAAAAGAAGCTATAAATGGGTCTTTGGTCCAATTATTCAGGCACCTCTTGATGTTAAACCAGTTGGACATAAATGGGTCTTTGTGAGGAAAAGAAATGAACATGGTGAAGTTGTGAGATATAAGGCACAAGAAGTTTCACAAAGATTCTCACAGAGACCAGGAATAGATTATGAGGAGACATAGTCTCTTGTGGTGGATGCTACTACTTTTAGATTCCTAATAAGTTTGGCCATAAGAGAGAAATTAGATCTGCGGTTAATGGATGTAATAACTGCATATTTATATTGTCCACTGGATAATGAGATATACATGAAAGTACTAGAGGGTATTGAGCGGAAAGACAAAGCAAGTTCTCGAGAACAACATTGTATAAAGTTGAACAAATCACTTTATGGATTGGAACAATCAGGTCGAATGTGGTATAATAAACTAAGCGACTACTTAGTAAAAGAGAGCTATATGAATGATCCAATAAGCCCATGCACATACATAAAGTAATTCGACAAGGGCTTTGTAATCATATCAGTGTATGTTGATGACCTGAATATCCTAGGAACCTTTGGAGAAATTTCTCAAATGGTCGAATACCTTAAGAACAAATTTGAGAAGAAAGATTTGGGAAAAAAGATTTTTTGTTCGGGATTACAAATTGAACACCTTAAAGGTGGACTCCTTGTGCATCAAAAGACATATACATAAAAGGTATTAAAAAGATTTAATAAGGACCAATCTCACCCATTGTCGAGCTCCATGGTCGTGAGATCTTTTGGTCTGGACATGGACACGTTTGGTCCTAAGAAGGCTGATGAAGAGTTCCTCGGGGCCGAAGTGCCGTACCCCAGTGCCATCTAAGCCTTAATGTATTTGGCGAGCCATACTAGGCCAGACATATGTTTTGCTGTGAATCTATTGTCTAGGTTTAGTTCATGTCTGACCCAAAGGCACTGGAACATGATTAAGCATGTTCTTCGTTACCTACAAAGAACAAAATACTTGGGTCTATATTATACTAACCAAACCAAAGAAGGGTTAACTGGTTTTGCTGATGCATGTTTTAATTCAGATCCACACATTGCTCGTTCTCAGACAGGCTATGTTTTTACCCACGGTGGGACTGCTATAGCTTGGCCGTACATGAAACAAATGATGGTGGCCACATCTTCCAATCATGTCGAGATATTGGCCATCCATGAGGCCAGCCGTGAGTTAGTCTGGTTGTGGTCCATAACCCAACATATTAGAAGAGATTGTGGGATGACCGAAGGCAAAGAAGAACAAACCATCATGTACGAGGAAAATGCAGCATGCATAGCTCAGCTTAAGGACGACTACATCAAAGGAGATAGGACGAAGCACATTCTGCCCAAGTTCTTCTTCACCCACGATTTACAGAAAGCCGGAGAGATCCAAGTACTACAAGTTCGTTCAAGTGACAATTCAGAAGACTTATTCACCGAGTCACTTTCAACCTCAACATTTCAAGAAGCTCATGCATCAGAATGGGATGCATAGACTTAAAGATCTTCAGTGAGGTACAAAATAGGGGGAGTAATACGTCTTGTACTATTTTTCCTTATCCATGGTTTTATCCAGTTTTATCCTATTTGGTTTTGGGTTTTTCCTGGAAATATTTTAATAAGGCAACATCCAAAGTGTATTACATGGTTATAGCATCTAAACAAGAGTGTTATAAACCATATTGTGAATTGCCATAATCGGAACCTTACTGGACCAGCCCATTAGAGTTCTAGGTCGGCTGAATATTCCTAATCTTTATTGGATTATAATTTGGTGTTTTTCCTATTCTGTGCTATAATAATTTTTTGTACTATTTCATTTTTCTGTTTAATTTAAAATTTTCTTTTTTTAGAAACTTGTAGCTCTCTATATTAACGCACTTTATGTTTATACAATAATAACATAAGTATTCCTCCATACTTTTACAATATAATACTCATTATTAGTCTACGATTTTGTTCGTTTTATCCCTGTTACTTGAGTGGTTACAATTTTTCCAGTCCCTAAGAGATGGTGCATATTTATGCTTATGCAATAATTTGCCTTCGCTAGTTCTGTAATGATTTTCTGAAGTTGTTTGAATATCAATAAATATCAATATAATTGTTAATATGCTAAAAAAATTGGCCGCTTAGACACTGTATATTCGAGGATCCATTTTCAAACGATCTCAATAACTCATGGTGACTTATAATGAATTCTTATAGCAATTGACTAGAAGGCCGTCTAATAAACAAATGCTAACACTTTGAATAATGACTACATCTAGTTGTGAATGCGATCTTAAAAAGATAGAAATTTTACAAGTTGAAGAAAAAATAAATAAGGAAAAGATTAATAGTATGCTTCGATATTATTATACATCCAACAAGGAATTGTAGTCGCCACAAAAGCTGTCTCTTTCTTCTACTACACATCTATAAGTCCTGTAAAACATATAGTGTTTATTTACTCTCTTTCGCTTTATATATATTATCTTCTAAACCAAGATTTATACTAAGATGATGGTGACAAGATCATTTGAATTGCTATCTCCAGTTCTTCTGGTTTAAAAAGCAGAAAACAAGGATTAAAAGATAATGCAAAGCTGAAAAATATTCCATGACCGCGTAGTTGTCACGTTTATAGGCATAGGAATATGGTTCTGAATCTGAATCTGATTCTGATGATGTCAACTTCGTTGCTTAAATGAATATTTTCTTAGTACTGATATCCAAGGCTAGATGAGTTGTAGAGACTCTTTGACTGAGTTTCCCAGCTTGGAGATGGCTGAAAACAAAGATAAAAGAGCAGGTTACTTCTCTGACAAGTAAAAAAAAAACTCAGAGAAAAGTTTTCAGATTGATAAATGTTCTTACAGCTTCAATGGAAGTTGTTTGGTTCGGGTTGATAACTGATAAATCTAGAGATCCTTGCTGATCCAGTGGAAACAATGGCGCATCAACCAATGTAGATGGTTTCGAAGCAACTACTACATGAAGATTTGTAAAGTAAGCCTGAAACTTAAATTTTAAAACAAATGATAAATGTTATTATGATTAGTTCTTGACTAATGACAGTTTGATGTTGAGGGTCTAGAGAGTGACGCCACCTGTTTTACAGATAAGTCCTCCAGAGCAAGCTCGAGTTCTGGGTTTAGGACAGCCAGTTTCATCGACAAGAACTGCAAAAGATTGTCACGATTTAGACTTCTAAATTTGGTTAACGGTGAGATAATCATGGTTTCATTACTTACCTCAACTTGTCTCTGGAGACATTGAACATAATTGATGATCTCATCAAGCATACCAGCTCTTCCAGTGACTTTGTTGCATCCAGGGACAAGATCTTGCAGATACTTCATCTTCTTGCTGATCTTTTCTCTTCTTGCCTGCCAAAGAAATATCCAATTCAAACACTAGAATTATCTTTGCCTTGTAACACAAGAAACACTTTTGTTACCCTTTCTGCTAAACTGTGTCTGTCTGTAGCTTGGCCTCGACGAGCTCTCACGTGGATATAATCCAATTTCTGGATCTCTGAAGCTCCTTTTGATGTCTGCTTTGAAGTGTCTGAAGATGATTCCGTGTTACTCACGTTTGATTTTCCTTTCATGTTTGACTCCGTCTCAGCCTCTACTTTGATTTTCTTCTCTGTCTTTTCCTCCTCCCTTGTCTTAATCTGAGAAATGAGACACAATTATCTTAGAAAACTAAAACCCATGAAAACATACTTTTAAACCAAAATCTGATCTAACAAACCTCGGATTTTCTCTTGTTTTTCAAGGAAATAGCTATGTTTTCTTCACTGTTCTTCAAAATTACTCCTATTGTATCCGCTGGATCCATCTGGCAGCTACTTGTTCTTGAAATACAGCCATCCATAGTATCATGTGAAGAACCAAAACCCATGCCATAGTTTTGTGCAAAACCAGATCCAAGCATTTGAAAATGGCTGAAGTTACTCTGCAACAACTCATCATTGTTGGTTCCCTGGAACTGAAGAAGTTCAGATGAAGCATTAGTACTGCTCTGAACTTGTTGATATTGTTGTTGTTGCAGCCATTTAAGCCTTTCAAGTACAGACACATCCATGAAGCTCAAGGACATACTTTCTAGAGAGACAAGACTTTCCAACATATTGTTCTCTGCAGAAATCTCTCAACTTGTAATTGCGTATATGATCTTTAAAGTGAGACCAAAAGTACAAACAGAATAGAGGACGGGGAGAAACGCTCTGGTTTTTTTGTATGTGTGAGTGTGTTGCTTAAAGCAAAAGATGATTTGCTATAAATGTATGAAGAAGGAGATATTTAGATTTATGTAATGTTGTTTGGGTAGGTTGCTTAGAAGAGATGAAAGAGGTTGGAGAAACTAATCCATTGATATCATTCTGCTTAGCTTTAAATAGAAAGCAACATTGACCCACACTCATAGGTCCCCTACTTGTTTATGTTTTCTGTTTTCCTTTTCTAAATGTTTAATTTCATTTTTTTTTTTCTGATAACCAAAAGTGTCCTGATCCCACCGTAGTGATTCAGACTAGAGACCGAAGCGAGCAAGGACACTGCTAAGGTGTCACCATGTGATTCACATATAACGATCTTCGGTCTCGGGCGCCAGAGCAAGTCCGCATGTAAATTCCCTGGTGGCCAACACGGATCGAATCCAGGATGGACACTTCAGCTAAAGTTCCATTACCACTAGGCCAACATGCGTTGGTTAATACTCCCTAACCAGTAACCGATATAACATGTCACCATACATTTTAAAATAATTATGTAACGGAAGGAGTATAAAAAAAGGCGTTCATTATCTTAAATGAACGTTGAGGTTAATAGATTAGTGGATAAATCGGATCCAGCGTTTAGACACACTCGACTATGACTGAGGAAAATAAAATAACAATTTGCAGAAAATAATAGTCTAGGAAGATTCGGTATCTAATGGAGATTGGGACATAGGTTGATAAAGTACAGGTTGGGAGCAAAGAAGGTGAGAGGTGAATGTGTGGGGTCTAAGTGACATAACCCACACCATGTGGGCATGTCCTTATGAACATTACATTTAGAGGTTCTTTATCCTCTTCTTGTGTCTATGTTTTTTTTTTTTTTTTTGGGTCAAAAAAAAGGATGTCTATGTTTTTATTTTCGTCTATTTTTTGCCCTTTCAAGTTGATGAGAGGAGCTTATTATGAAAATAAACGATGAAAGAGACCTTAACACTTATAGTACTTGGATTGGACGCTTGACTATAACATAACCGGCAAATCAGATATGAGCGAAACCATTTTTTCAAACCGATTCTTTTAAAAATCGGTTTAGGCATATAAAAAATTGCTCTAAACTCCCGTCTAAACAAAAATCTTCTCTAAAACGTCCAATTATTGCCTAGCAATTTTTAGAACATTGAGCCAACTAATCAAACTTATACCAACCAAAATTAAAATTAAATTTGGTTTTATGAAACTTTAAACTGAAAAGGCTAACAATTACTATAGTTTTTTTATTTATCTATAGACCAAAGTAGTCATCACTCTCCTCTTCAATTTTTGATGAACCATCAAAACTCTGGTGGTGTCACTTAAATCTGTTGTTTAAGCAAAACAAAGCTAAGCTGCATGTTGAACCGTTAGTTTTCAACTTATGGAAAAGGGTAAAAATAAAACGCTAGAGAAAATTAAATTTGGTTTTATGAAACTTTAAACTGAAAAGGCTAACAATTACTATAATTTTTTTATTTATTTATAGACCAAAGTAGTCATCACTCTCCTCTTCAATTTCTGATGAACCATCAAAACTCTGTTGGTATCACTTAAGTCTGCTGACCGGATGGCATGACTAGTAAGCTTTTCCAGAAATTTTGGAGTGAGATGCGGCAAGATATCACTAGACTGGTACAAGATTTTTTTGAGACTGGCAGCTTTGATCCACTTTTGAACCAGACGAATATATGTCTTATTCCGAAGAAGAAGAAACCCCGGGAAATGTCAGAATTTAGACCTATTAGCCTCTGCAATGTTAGTTATAAGATTATATCTAAGCTATTATGCAAGAGACTTAAGAGGCTAATTCCGCGACTGATTTCGGAAACACAATCAGCATTTGTGGCTAAACGTTTGATCACTGACAACATTCTGATAGCACAAGAGAACTTTCACGCCCTAAGAACAAACCAAAGATGTAGGGAAGACTTTATGGCCATCAAGACCGATATGAGTAAAGCTTACGATAGAGTGGAGTGGAGTTTTTTGGCTACTCTGATGTTAAAGATGGGCTTTGATGAAAGACTGGTTGACCTCATTATGTGTTGTGTCACGTCGGTTTCATATCAAGTTCTAGTCAATGGACAACCGAGAGGGCGGATCTTACCGAGGAGGGGCCTGAGACAAGGAGACCCCCTGTCCCCCTTCTTGTTCATTCTGTGTACAGAAGCTTTAATCTCGCTGTTAAATGGAGCGGAAGCGGAGAAGAAGATTGTAGGTCTTCGTGTGGCACAAGCGAGCCCAAGGACCTCCCATCTACTATTTGCGGATGATAGTCTTTTCTTCTGCAAGGCGGAAGCTAGCCAATGCAAGGAGATCATAGACATCATAGACATTTATGGTAAAGCATCGGGACAAAGATTAAATGCGGCAAAATCATCAATGT